GCATACTTTAGTATAGTTTTGGAATTGACGAGAATAAAAAGAAAAGAATAAAAACCAATTTTGTTGTGTACTAAAACAAACAAACAAACAAAAAAAAACCAGAAGGTGTTCTGGCAGAAAAATTATCAGGACTTTTTTCAGTTTTTCTGAAGTTTTTTCTTTTTTTTGGACTATTGGCAAAGTTTGATAACCATTTGCTAAATTGCAAAAAAGAAATGATTTAATAATGAAAACATTTCTGTGCACTATAACTCATAATGACTTACAGTGGATCCCCAGGCCAACATTCAGTATCAGAAGAACAGCAGCAAGAAGCGCCAGGCACACTGCAGCCAGTCTGTGGCGTCTCCCAGGACTCATAGTGAACATGGACACTAAACAGGCAGAACATTATGAATTTTCAACTTAAAGGCAGGTAACACACATATAACTTGGTTGAAGCTTTAAAAGAGTAAAATCTGATCATTTTAGGACTTAATATTACTGTTTACTAGTAGTTTATTTAACATCTGCTCTGTGCTCTTTATTTATGATTAGAAAAATCCTGTTAAAGCATGTAAACCTTACACGTAGTTGTTCCAGATCATCATGTCCTGTCATTATATCTTAACTCTGTAAAACCTACTTCAATCAAAAGAATCAGAAACCTGACTATGGGAGTGCAATGAATAAAAATTTGAATTATTATACCTTGTATCCTGTTAGACTGATGGTAAGGAGGATACTCTTCCTCGTGCAAATCGTCTTCATAGACAAGTGTCTGAAAACCACCATTTGTCTCCTCCATTCTCACTGTTCAGTCTAAATCAGTCATGTGTCAGTGCATTTAAGCAACAATCTGTCACAGATTGTGACGCCTACTGCTGAGGTCATCAACAATCAGTTCCAGTGAAATCTGCTGTCTGTAAAAACAAAGAGGGAAGTCCATCCATCTATTTTCTTCTGCTTATCAGGGGCCGGGTCACGGGGGCAGCAGCCCATGCAGAGAAGCCCAGACCTCCCTCTCACCCAGGAGGCATCCTTGTCAGAGCCCAAACCACCTCAACTGGCTCCTTTCGATGTGGAGGAGCAGTGGCTCTACTCTGAGCCCCTCCCGAAAGACTGAACTATTCTCACCCTAAAGAGCTGATCCAGTGTTCCACGACCAGGATGAAAACTGCATTGTTCCTCCTGCATCCGAGGTTCGACTAACGGACGGACTCTCCTCTCCAGCACACTAGCATAGACTTTCCCAGGGAGGCTGAGGAGGGTGATTCCCCTGTAGTTGGAACACACCCTCCGGTCCCCTTTCTTAAAGATGGGGACCACCACCCCGGTCTGCCAGTCCAGGGGTACTGCCCCTGATCTCCACGCAACATTGTAGAGGCGTGTCAACCAAGACAGCCCTACAACATCCAGAGCCTTCAGGAACTCGGGGCAGACCTTATTCACCCTAGGGGCCCTGCCACCAAGGAGTTGTTTAACTGCCTCAGTGACCTCGCCCCCAGAGATTGGTCGCCTGACGGTTTGCCAGAATCTCTTCCAGGCAGTCTGAAAGTCTTTTTACATGGCCTCTCCGAACTCCTCCCACACCGAGTTTTTGCTTCAGCCATTCCGCTTGGCATGTCAGTACATATCAGCTGCTTCCAGAGTCCCACAGGGTAACCAAGCCCGGTAGGACTCCTTGTCCAGCTTTCCCTCTTCAAAGAGGGAAGTGATAGATGTTATTAATGTGTAGGTGCCACAATTACTTTCCAGATACATGAGATCTATATCTGCTGATCTCTTTGAGAGAATTCAAAGAATTTGTCCAAATCACAGCTGAAGGAACCCTCGTCAGTGTTAGGTTCAGTTTTATTTATATAATAAAATGTCACAACAACAATTGCTTCAAGGCACTTTATATTGTAAGGTAAAGACCACCACGATAATAAGAGAAACTCCAACAATCATATGACCCCCCTAAGACAACAATGCTTTACATAAACTACATGAATTAAATATACCGTTAGCATTAGAGAATGCTTAAAAGTTGCTAAACATTATACACTTAGCATATGAGAAACAAAAATGCAACCCAAGTTTTTTTTAGTTGAGACCGAACCCATTGTGCTGATTAGGAAGTGAAACAATCTTTTTTTTTTTTTTATGCTACATTAGTGTCAAGATTTTCTAATTTTCTGTTTCTATTCTGAATAAACCACCAGGATGTTCAAAACCTTCTGCATTTGATCATTTTTCACATATAGAAATTCCCCAGTGACTTTTTACATTTTTAATCCTTTCTTCATTTTTGAAAACAATTGATCAGTGTGACCAGGTTGTAGCATTGCTTTCAGCATGAAGAGGCTGGATGGTTTACAGGTACCTGCAGTGTTTTGTTCTGTAAGAACAATGAAAAGTAAAGTAGTGAGAATGAACTGCATAGCATTCAGAGAGGACTTTGAACTATGAGTTTATTAATAGCTATAACTGAGTAAACCATTAAGAGGAAGCTGGGGTATAAACAGACAAAACAGTAAAACATTGGGGCAGTAATGTAGAACAGTATGTCTCTGTAGAAGATTATAAACAATGTACCGAAGCACTGTCCGATAAATTAATACAGTGTATAAATGTTAACTGAAAGATTTGTTAGGTTATAATTTATTAAATATTTACCAAAATCTGTGTTTCATATGCAAGCTTGGTACCTCTACCCCAGAGGCCTGGGAGACAGAGAGACTGATTTAATTTTAAAAACATCTGTGAAAACATTACAGAGATGCTTCGTGGAATATTACATTAAAATGTACTTTAATCATGAAAAACAAGGACTTTTTAAACTGAAATGAAGGTTAGCTTAATGTTAAGTAACACATCCCATTTTCTCTTTTCACACTGATTAAACCAAGTTGGCACGTTTCCATAAACACTGAACATTTGGGTGTAGCACTGCCTTCAACTTTTATCAGTCATCATAAACCAACATAAAATTTAGATTTTGTTCCAAAAAAGGCTTTTAGTATTTGTATAGTAGTTTAAAAATATGAACAGCTCCCTCATTTAATGTGATTACACAATGAAATACACAATGCGCTTGTTAAGATATTTACCAGTGAAAGAGAGAGAGAGGAATTGGTAAATTCTTAAAGTTAGAGATTTAGGGGTCTTCACCCAGGACTTGGTCAACAATTGAATGACTCTATAAAATATCTACATATATATATCTATAAAAGAGTCTAGTGAAGCTCTGAGGTGTGCTGGATTTGTCAATAGAAACAAGTCATCTGACTGGCAGAGAGAATGTCGAGACCTCAGGAGGACAGTTCATCCTTAATCTTATTCAGCTCGTTTTAGAACTGAAGAAGCTTCTCGGATGAGAGGTGCAATGTCTTCATGAAAAACGTCCACGCGCTTTCTTTCCAAGCTCTTTGGAACAGACAGCTTATTGTAAGTATCTTCTAAACAGCTTTGCACTGATGAATGTTTCTGTAGATTAATGTAGAAATACATTAAAGCATCATAGTCAAGAGAACAGAGGAAAGCACTGCCCTCTGCTGGGAACAAGTGAAAACACTTTTACTGACGGTTGGATCAACATCCTGAGTTTGGTGCCAAACGCATCATTAAATAGGGAACAAGATCATCGAGTGAGGGCACACTGACAACAACCACCTAGCATTACATTTACTGCTTTCAATCGGTTGCACAGCACAGCTGTCTTCATTATTCATTATTGTCTATTCTGTAAAATAGTCAGATGTCTATTCTATTCATATGTTGTGAAGCAGAGGCTCCGCTGGTGGGCTTTGGAGGATCTTCGACTTGTTCCTGACCAGGAGTGGGCATTCCACCCTTTTCCTGCTGAGGACCGCTCCGGGTTACACCTCAGACCGTCAAATATATGAATGTTATTAGATGGATTTTAATTGTGTTCTTATGTAACTGCCATAAATTTTCAACAATGGCTTTAAAAAGAGGTAAGGAGGATGGCACACACATCTTCTTGATAAAAGAGTGAATCAAATCCACCATTAAAATTACAACCAGTAGTTGATATCAGTCACATGCATATCTGGCAAGACACTTTGCTGTGTCGACACAACTCACTGCTGATTAGTTCTTAATCACTGAATTCCAGTTCAAACTTTTATCAGAGCTGTGGCTAGAATGGAACCGGACATTCAACTTCTCACCGGGCAGATGCAGGCCCACAGTTCACACTGATGAACATACTGTACATAGGTAAGCTCACTTTTGCGACTTGAATAAGTTATTCTGAGTATAAACAAATATAATCATAATAAAATCTACTGGGATAAAATCCATCTCCACAACCATACTGGTATTGAAATGTTTTGTGCTGTGTAGGTGCTGTATCACTTAGTTCGGTTTCTCAGCCTGCTTGCTTTGTGGTTTTCAGAGGGAAGTTGATGAGAGAGAGCAAACAGTGGTGTCTACTAGGCTACCCTACTGGAACCTACAAAACTGGATTATAAGGAAAGAACACAAGAACTTTGAGAGACTGCTCATATGAGTCATTTAAGAGATTCTGCTCTGACAACTGAAGCTTAAGATTGCGCACGGCACAACAGAAACTTTCTTTCTGTGAAAGAGAGGGTTATTGGATCATTTATTGATGTCATAAATAGTCTTATTAAGTATTTCCTAAGTTAATTTTTTCTATTAAGAACCCAGAGAGGGTTATTTGATCTCAGAAAGGGTTATTAATATTTGGTTATGTGTGGCTTTCTGGAAAACAAATGTTTACATTTCGGCAAACCTGCGATCTTCACACTTTTTCTGTTACAAACTGACCCTGGCCCCCATCAGAGAAGGGAAAAGTTCTGTGGCCCTCACTGGAAAAAGTTTGGGGACCCCTGGTATACACAGTTGAATAGTGGAATTGTAAAGCGCTTTGAGGGTCTCGAAAAGCGCTATATAAATGCAATCCATTATTATTATAAAGAAAAAACATATTATAAACAACTGTTTATTTTATATACCACCTACATTTTATATAGGTGTTGTACTGTATTAGATACAGATATTTGTGTTATAGTAGCATGTACATATGTAAAATTGTATTACAGATGTTTTAGCTCATGGATTTTGGTGCTTTTTCACAAATCCATTTCATTTGGGTGTCACATCTAACATCGTTCCAGCTCTTGAAGAAGTTTGCTTTAGGATACAGCGCTGCACAGTCCTCATTGCTGACATCATTCGGCTCTCCATCATTCCAGTACCTGAAGCAAATGGCAGGTTACTCTACAGGGAAAGTATTTGCTTTTATTTAACCCACATTGCTCATCTTTTATTGACATTCATGTTAATTCATAATGACAAGAATCATGTTAATAAGACACCATTTTCTAAATATACAACACACTGCTGATTTACCCAAGATTCACAGTGTGCAACATATTTCACTCTTACCCCTCAGTAAGGACTGTTCCATCCCACCATTTCCAGGTGCCATCCTCTTGGACATCACTCAGTCCAATCCAGAAAGCCTTTGGGGATTTTGGATTTGACTGAGGCATCATCCCAGAGGCATCTTCATAATAATAATAATCTGAGTAGTCGTGTATCATGGAGTGGTCTATATAACTCATGTAATGTTGAAAGGTGGGTTGGTCACTGAATAGGTCGCCAGTCTGTAGCGGGGCATCTTGATGATTCATCAGGTAATTTACTGTCAAGTTCTAACAATTAAATAAATCAATAAATAGACAAATATCTGCATGAAAACTGCTGCACAGAAATACTAACAAACCTCTTCATCTTGGCTGTCTATGATTATAAGATCTCCTCCCTGCAGCTGACAGAAATCTCTGGATTCCTTCCATGTTTTGAATTCATTTGACTTCAAGGGGAAGTAGTAACATACAGAGTTCATTAAAATCCATCCTGCAGGACAGTGTTTGCAGCCATCGCCTGTTTCCAAAAGAAAATACCACCATTATAGAAAATAATGAAACAAATCATTACGCTTTTACAATTTTATCATAAACAGAAACAATGAAACCGGTCTTACTAAGCATTGATAAGCGTGTTCTCATGGCTTCAATTTCCTTTGTGATTTTTTCCATCTGACTTTTATAGTCATTGCTTCGTTTTGTCTGGTGTTCAAGCTCCCAGTTGGTTTGTGTCTGACGGCTCATCTCACTGTCCAGCTGCTTCCTGGCATCCTTCATGGTTTCCACTGCAGTCTTGTAAGTGTCCTGGAGGTTGATGAGCTCTTTGCTGATGCGTTCGGTATCGTCGAGCGTGAGGTGAGAATCTGTGAGTTTGTTATCTGCAATTGTTGAAGACTGTTACTTTTCTTATTCTTAAGTAACAATATTATAAATCGGGTGGTTTGACAACATTGTACATCATCAGTTTTATTTAGAAACGTTAATCATTATGTGAATCAGTAAGAGGCTGACAGCAAATTACTCAGAAACCATTTTGATAGTGAGTTGTTTTTAAGTCCTTTAGATCAAAGTGGCTACCCTTATCACAAGGGAGCTCCTCGTGTTTGATTTGGCAGCAGTCCTACTTGTTATTCTTCGTGGATCATCCCACTTCCCCATAGGGAAAGCATCTCTCTGGCTGGTACTGATCCAGGAAATGTCTGCGTGCTAGCCAATTGTATTACAACCACTGCACTAAGGAGCCACTCTGACAAGTTAAACTTAAAATTTGTTGCTTTCTTTACAGTTTAATATTTTTTAGTTTTGGGCCTATTGGCAAGCGTTGATAACCATTTGCTAAATTGCAAAAGAAAAATGCAAGAAATGATTTGATAATGAAAACATTTCTGTGCACTCATGTAACTCATAATGACTTACAGTGGATCCCCAGGCCAACATTCAGTATCAGAAGAACAGCAGCAAGAAGCGCCAGGCACGCTGCAGCCAGTCTGTGGCGTCTCCCAGGACTCATAGTGAACATGGACACTAGACAGGCAGAACATTATGAATTTTCAGCTTAAACGCAGGTAACACACTTAACTTGGATGAAGAATTAAAAGATTAAAATGTGGCCCATTTTAGAACTTATATTAAAATTACTGATCCTGTTAAAGTCAAGTCAAGTCAAGTATTTATTTATTGTCATTGTCAAGAACAATGAAATTGCGTTTGGGGCTTCCATACAACCCGTAAAAAAAAAAAAAAGCATGTAAAGCATGTAAACCTTACACGTAGTTGTTCCAGATCATCATGTCCTGTCATTATATCTTAACTCTGTAAAACCTACTTCAATCAAAAGAATCAGAAACCTGACTATGGGAGTGCAATGAATAAAAATTTGAATTATTATACCTTGTATCCTGTTAGACTGATGGTAAGGAGGATACTCTTCCTCGTGCAAATCGTCTTCATAGACAAGTGTCTGAAAACCACCATTTGTCTCCTCCATTCTCACTGTTCAGTCTAAATCAGTCATGTGTCAGTGCATTTAAGCAACAATCTGTCACAGATTGTGACGCCTACTGCTGAGGTCATCAACAATCAGTTCCAGTGAAATCTGCAGTCTGTAAAAACAAAGAGGGAAGTGATAGATGTTATTAATGTTGGTTGGACGTAACACTTTAGCAATAAAATTATAGATTAAAAAAAAGGAGCCACATTCAGGTAAACGTGTAAAATCAAATGATCCGTTAATCAAGAATAATGTCGGATCAGTGTTTCAATATTTATATATTTCATTACATGTTCATGTGGTTTGGTTATTTGCCTTTTGGTTGAAAGTACACTGAGAGAGGACTTTTTGTTAGTGATCTTAATAGTATTTTTTTATTTAATTTTTCATCTAATTGAATATAATCTATTTGTGTATGATTGTCAGTCCGAAGAGGGAGAGAGGAAAGAGGGAACGTGAGGAGAAAGTACAAGGTCAGGAAGAACCAGGTAAAAATCTTACAACACGAAATTAGTATCTGCAGTAAAGATTTTTTTCATGCATTGTATACATGCTACCACAGGCAAAGTTGCCTCCATTTTTATATTCTTTTTAAAAATATTTTGTAATAATTTATTCTGTTTTGGGAGTGTTTTTTATGTATCTGTATTATATTATACAAACACATTAAAAGTGAATCTCTGTCCAAAAAATGCACTCAGTTTACTTCTTACTCACTATGAGCATCATTCATTATTCTCCCAGTAATTAAGGTTAGCATATGTATTTTTTTTATTCCAATCCATTCTTCTTTAGCAGCATTTAAATAACCTTTATCAGATTTGATGGTTTTGTTACAGACTTTTCAAAAAAGTGTTTTGCTTTTCTTTCACAAATGTGGGATTAAATTGTTAAAATGTACAAAACAGTGATGTCATGTTTTGTGACGAGGACCCAGGCAGAGAGACTTGATGAATTTAAGAATCTTATGATTTAATAAAGAAATTTGCAGACTTAAAATTATGATGACTGATAACGGAGATGAAGACAACAGACGATGAGGACAGGGAGGATGCAGGGACCGAAAGAGACAGGGAAGAAGTCTCATTGTGACGAGTAAAGTGTATCTTGGCTGGCTGGGCAGCTCTCTGGGTGCCCAACACCCCCAAAGCTCTGATCCTAGAATCGCCCCTGGTTAAAATACAGTTAAAAGATACAGGTCAAAATTCATTTTAAAAATCCAAACACAAGTCATCAATGTATTTATTAATGTTCAAACCTGCACTGTAATATACTCTGCAAGACTGGAGGACATAGCAACAACTGCTATAGTACAATCAGGATCATCTGAAGTAATTGCTTGAGCAGTAGAGTTTATCTTAACCGCTTAACACCTGAACTCTTTAATGGCATGCATTTTTGATTTCTCTTTGCTATTTTGGCTGATTGGGACCTGATGAATGTAAAAACAAAGAATTACGTGATTATTTTTTTTCTGAGAAAAATGAGATCCACATATCAGGACATCCCCTTTAAATTTCGATAAAACAGTGGCAGTATAATGTCCTCGTAAGTGAATATCAGGCCCTTGTAGAGCAAAATGTAGTATTTTGGTTTAGACAACCCAAAATGTGATGTCCACATATGTGGACGGCAGGTCCTAGGAGGTTGATGGCGTTTCACATATCCAGTGTAAGTTATGCCAGTTGCATCTTCCATCAAAACGAGTCTTCCAGGGATTAAAGATGGAGGAAACTGCAACCCCGCAATCCTCTCCGTGGGTTCCCTGGTCATTGGGTTCACCATCCATCCAGTACCTGAGAAAAATTCTAATTCATTTAAAAATATGTTTAATGAATTATCAAACAAGAAAAATATTGTTTCAGCTCTCACCGTTGCTCGACCTCTGTGACATTATTAATCCAAACCCATCTGTTCTCAGTCTCTATGTCAGTGATACCGATCCAGAATCCGCTTTGCCACCACTGATCACTGGTTTTCATATTTTGGATGTTGCTACTGATAAATTTCTGTGTAACCAAAAAGAAAAAAAAATCAGTATATTTGAATATTTATTTAGCTTCAATTTTGTCTAAGCTCAGTCTTTCCTTTTATGATGCTGGATTTTATAAGTAATGAAATATAATGCATTTGTTGGCTCTCTGCCTTCTGTAGAGCAGTAAAACCCATTTTGTTCTACATCTGTGTTCTTCTCCTGATGTATCGTAGGGTGAATCTACCTCAGTTTGTGCCTAAATTTCTAAACCTTCCCAGTCAGCATTACTTTGTGTTCATTGCTAATACAGTACTGCTAACATGATTAGCCTGTTTGATTGCTGTTAGTAACAGAATGAACTATTGGTTTTCCTATCATGCTTGCTGGCTGTTTGTAGTGTGCTGATCTTGTAACAACGATGATGCAAATAAATAATAAAAACATCATATACTTAAAATAGGGTGTGACTGTTTGGAATAATAAAGTTCTTAAGTCTTCATTTTAGCAAAGTTCAAATCCATGTTAATGACTTTCTGTCAAGCTGTTAACTTGTGTTGTTTAGTTACTTTTTGTAAATTTTCCTCTCTTGCTTATTTTCAACCCACCTGCTCTTCCTGGTTATCGATCACAACCAGGTCAGAGCCACGACTAACACAGTCCTCTCTGCTCTCATGCCAGTTCTTTTTGACAGTAGAGGACTCGGTGTAGGAGAAGAAATAGCAGGACGAGTTGAAAAGAGCCCAACCAGGGAGGCATCCGCCGCAAGATCCCTCTGAGAGAAACAAAGAGTTATCGTCTTTTCCAGTTAACACATTTCAGGAAAACATAAATAAGGATAAAAGTTTCTCACCTAAAACTGATATGTTGGACTTCAGGTTTGCCTTCTCCACTTGCAGTGCTTGCATCTGTTTCTGATAACCATCATTGACGGTCTTCAGCTGCTCAATTTTCACCTTTACTTCTTTGTGGTTGTTGATCGCGCTCTCTAACGCCTTCTTGGCCTCCTCTTCAGCTTCGATCACATCGCTGTGGTTGCTTCGGAGATAGTCGAGCTCACTGAAGAGCTGTGTTACAGCTGGGTTGGAAATGTGCAAGGAGCCCTCTTTGACTTTGGCACCTAAACAGGGAAACATTGCATTTTATATTAGATTAGATTATGTAAGGCATGTAAAGATCAACTAAATGTTGGATATTATAGCAAAACTGTTTAAAAATGATTGTCATGTTGAAATGGATGGGGTCAAATTACATTTCTAAGTGTTTTGCAATCAAGAAAAAAAAAAGGTATCAGTTCTCCTTATGGGATTACTCAGGGTCGACATGCATTGTGAAATTCTACACAATAGAGAAAATAAAATTGTAAGGTCACACAAACTCTAATACTCACAGTTAATCCCAAGAACAACAGCGACTATCAGCAGAACTGCATTCAAGAGTCCCAGACACAGAATAACCCACTGGTTAAATCCATCTCCACCTATAATACAGGGTCACACATACATTTTAAAAAGACAAAATGTGTCTGAATTCAGACAATATTGCTTTTTGGGAGGGAAGGTTTTAGATAAGTAAAACAATCTGAATTCATTTTTAATCAGGTTGTTGTTGACAGCAGCCGACAGCTCAAGGGTGCAACAAATACATGAAAAACCAGAAATTCGGATGACGTAACTCAGAAGGTATTTTAGCTCATTTTGAGTTTCACACTTTTAAATATATAAAATGTCATATTTGATGATCATGATGATGAACCTGAACTACTTTCCTTGTTTCTTATTAGTAAGGATTCTTCAATCATGAAAATCTAAACACTGATAAATTCAACAGAAAGTATAATAGAAGGCAACGTATAATTTTAAGACCATACCGTTTCTAAATATTTTATAGTTGTTGAAGGAAACTGATCCTGTCTTCCTCTGTGTCTCCATTGCACTGCTGCAGGTTTTGTGCACTGCTCTGCTTTCCTCTGCCTTAAATACACGTGTGGGCATGTCCCATAGTCTCATTTCCTCGGTGTCCTATGAAGCTTTTATTAGTTTATTTTTTCATAGCCTAGAAAGAAAATCCAAATATGATACAAGATCAACCAAACCAGTTCTGTTTGTACGATGACATAGTTTGCACTGTAAAAAAAAAATTGAAACTCTAACCCCTGAAGCTCAGTTATTTTTTTTATTTTATTTTTTTTGCACAGAGCAACTATTAATAAAAAATTAAATGTGTATGTGTGTGTGATCTATTTATTATTATTTGATGTTTTTAGTTAAAAACTGTTGTCAGCTTACCTATAGCGGTGCTTGCAGATTTGCCATGCTGTCAGATACAGTTTCAATAGCAACCTGTGTTCAAGAAAAAAGGTTTGCTGCTGCAAAAGCACAGAAACCATAGCAGAAGCAGAAAAAAACACTGTAGAAGCTCATGAAGAGCAAGAAAGAAACAACTAATAACATGTAATGTATTATATGACACATTCAGTTAGAACACACATTACCTTGTACCTTTTTTCTCCCTCACAACACGGATGAATCCTCCTCTTCTTTTAAGCATGTCTTAGTGTAATCCTTGGTGTTTCCATTTCTGTCACTTCTGCAGCTCTTTCATAATGTCTCCCAAAATCACTTATGGTGTGGTGTTTAAGTTGCAATGCATTTCACCTCTCAGGCCCATCATATAAATCATTCTTTTGGCATTTAACAATTACTTAAAGAGGTCATGTTTCACTTGTAAAGTATGGATATGGGTTCGTTTGCACATGACGAGTTTATCTCTTACAAGTTGGGAGGAGACTAAAGAAGTCACACAAACTTTTGAGGTGGAGGCACAGCGACCGTTTACAAATAGGATTACAAATGTAAGCAGTGTTTTCTACAGCCTTCATTCTCCAGCTTCGAACTTACTTACCTCGTTTGAGGTGAGTCGTACAAACCCGGTTTTCTGCGCTGTCATCTATCGTCCCCCGAAATACAATAAGAACTTCATAAGTGATTTCTCTGATTTTTTTTAGCTGGGATTATGCCCAACTATGATAGTGTTCTTATTGTTGGAGATTTCAATATACATGTATGTTGTCCTGATAAGCCACTGGTAAAGGACTTTTTAAGCCTTATTGACTCTTTTAGCCTGGTACAGTCCGTACGTGGCCCTACACATGAGCACGGACACACACTGGACCTTGTTCTGTCATATGGTCTGCCTGTCACTAACTTGGAGATTTGTGACTCTGCACTCTCAGATCATATGCCTGTGTTATTCAATGTTGGTTTTACACATACTGTAGTTAAATCTGGTGCTGCTACTCAGAGCTGTGGGGTTATTAACCCCGCCACTGCCGTGCAGTTTTCTGCTGCTTTTAATCAGCTCGGTGGCCCTTCTGACTTGGTCTCCTCTGACACAGAAGAGCTTAATTCCTGGTTTTATTCTTGCTGTCAAACCGTCTTGGACAGCATACTAGGAAATTTTTCCTAGTATAGGACAGTATGTCCTTGACATTATTAAAAGCAGTCTGTCTTCTGGTATGGTTCCTGCAAATTTCAAACATGCAGTAGTGCAGCAACTGCTTAAGAAACCTGGCCTTGATCACACAGTTTTAGCAAACTATAGGCCTATTTCCAAGCTGCCTTTAGTCTCCAAGGTTTTAGAAAAAATTGTTTTTAGTCAACTGAAAGATTTTCTAGATGAAAATGGAATCTTTGAGGTTTTTCAGTCAGGTTTTAAAACCCTTCATAGCACAGAATCTGCATTATTAAGGGTTTTTAATAACATCCTTCTGGCATGTGATTCTGGTAACCATGTTGTTCTGGTCTCGCTTGACCTAACTGCTGCCACTGACACAGTAGACCACAATATTTTAATTTCTCAATGAAATGATGTAGTGGGTATTGGTGGCACTGCACTTAATTGGTTTAGGTCTTATCTGTCAGATTGGTGCAGGGATAGCTCAGTAGGTAGAGTGGTGGCCCCATGATCGGAAGGTCGGGGGTTAGACTCCACTGAACAGCTACCCTGAGGCACCCCTGAGCAAGGTACCGTCCCTACACACTGCTCCCCGTCTCCCCCTGCATTGGTGGCTGCCCACTGCTTCACTGGGTGAATGGGTTAAATGCAGAGGAGTAATTTCCCTACGGGGACTAACACATACACATTATTATTATTATTGTGGCTCAAGAGTTGGAAGTTCATCTTGTAATCGAACGGTTGCCGGTTCGAGCCCCGGCTCGGGGCACTTCACCCAATGCCTACTGGTGGTGGTCAGAGGGCCCGGTGGCGCCAGTGTTCGGCAGCCTCGCCTCCGTCTGTGGCTACAATGTAGCTGCCATCACCAGTGTGTGAATGGGTGGATGACTGATTGTGTTCTCAGGGACTAGAAAAGCGCTATACAAATACAGGCGATTGTCAGATAGAACTTTCTCTGTCAGCCTTCTCGGTTCCGAATCATCTTCTGCTCCTCGTCCCACAGGGCTCAATTTAGGGCCACTGCTCTTTTTACTGTATCTATTGCCTCTGGGTTCTATCCTTAGAAGGCATGGGATATCATTTCATTGTTATGCCGATGACTGACAAATTTACTTACCACTAAAGCAGAAGGATGGTATCTCCATAAAACCTCTCTTGACATGTCTAGATGACATTAAAGCTTGGTTGGCTCTAAACTTTTTAAATTTTAACAAAAAGAAAACAGAAGTGTTGGTGTTTGGACCCAGTGGTCCCTGTGAGTCCTCCTCTGTTGTTTTAGGATCCCTGGAAGTCTATTTTAAACCTGTTGTTACTGACCTTGGTTTTAAGTTGGACAGTGATTTTAAATTGGACAACCAAATCAGAGCAGTGAAGTCCAGTTTTTATCATTTCAGGCGACTGGCAAGAGTAAAATCTTTTCTTTCGAGGCAGCACCTTGAAACAGTGATCCATGCTTTTATTTCTTCCCGCCTGGACTGTAACTCACTTTATGTGGGGGTCAGTCAGTCGTTGCTCTCACGTCTGCAGCTGGTTCAAAATGCGGCTGCACGACTCCTAACAGGAACTCGAAAAAGAGAGCATATAACCCCGTGCTGGCCTCTCTGCACTGGCTGCCTGTGTCTTTTAGAGTTCATTTTAAAATTCTTATGTTTGTTTTTAAATGCCTTCACAGTCTTGCCCCGCCTTACCTCTCTGAGCTTCTTCATCCCCACATACCCTGTCGGTCTCTCAGGTCAGCTGACCAGCTGCTCCTGGAGGTACTGAGGAGGAGGAGGAGGAGGAAGCTCAGAGGGGCGGGGCCTTCTCTATTGTGGCTCCAAAATTATGGAATAATTTGCCCATGCACGTTAGAGAGGCCCTTTCACTGTCCACTTTTAAATCACGTCTTAAAACCCACTTTTATTCCTTGGCTTTTAACCTCAGTGAGACTCAGTTTCTCTTTTAATTGAAGTAGTTATTTAATTAATGATTTCACTCTTCTTTTATTTGGTTTTTATTTATATTTCATGTAATTTTATTTTACAGTTCCAATGTACAGCACTTTGTGTCAGCTGTGGTTGTTTTATAAATAAAGGTGATGATGATGATGAAACATGGTTTACTAGGGTTTGTAACTAATTGACTTTGCAGAGAGTTAAAGGACAGCATCCCAATGCAATGCAAAACACATAGAAGGATGCATCTTCTATAGTTATTACATGTTATTACAGGCAGCCAAGTTTCCTTTCGCAGTAAGTGATGGGACACAGTTACACTGTCATACATGTCCATGTTATAACATTGCCTCCACCAGGTTAGACAGATGATGTGTGCTTTGGATCACGAGTTATTTCTCTCCTTCTCCATATTTTCCTCTTTCCCATCTTTCTGTTGCAAGCTCATCTTGGTTTCATCTTTCTAGCAGAATGTAATCTGAGGGGAGAATTTCTAAAGAAATACTTTAAAATACCAGCCTGTATACTCCTGTCATGATTATTTCTGTGGCTAATGTTAATAGGAGTATTAGGAGCAGTAAAGAGTCGTCATATTACCAGTTATAGCTGCAACCACAGCCAGACAACAACTGTGCTCATGACATAAAGGGTGGACACGCTGAGAGAGAGCGATAGAGACAGTGAGAGGTACAGAAAACAAAGTGAAGACAAAGTGAAACCACCTTATGCGTGTTATGATTTAAAGAATATGTGATAGTTTACATATCTAAGACTGTATGCCTTATTAGACATTTTAGCTCATGGATTCTGGTGCTTTTTCACAAATCCATTTCCTTCTGACTCCACATCTAACATCATTCCAAGCTTTGAAGAAGTTTACTCTGGGATACACGGCTGCACAGTCTTCATCATTGAGATTGTTCGGCTCTCCATCGTTCCAGTACCTGAAGTAAAAGACACTTTACTTTACAGAGCTAACATTTTCTTTCAATCCATCCACTTTTTCATCTTCCCTCTCAACCACATATATTATTGAGGAGAAGTTCATTTTTTGTAAGTGGCAGTTTCACTGTGTGTAGCATACTGAACTCTCACCCTTGAACAAGAAATGTTCCATCCAACCATTTCCAAGTCCCTTCCTCCTTGGAATCACTCAGTCCGATCCAGAAGTCTGTCGAGAGCTGGGAGGCATCTTGATGATTTATTAGGAAATTTACTGTCGAGTTCTAACAAAAAAAAAGATTAAAATTAATTTAAAAAAATCAATATGAATGGTCTCCACAGAAATACTAACAAACCTCTTTGTCTTGGCTGTCTATGATTATAAGATCTCCTCCCTGCAGCTGACAGAAATCTCTGGATTCCTTCCATGTTTTCATTTCATTTGATTTCAAGGAGAAGTAGTAACATACAGAGTTCATTAAAATCCATCCCACAGGACAGCGTTTGCAGCCATCGCCTGTTTCCAAAAGATAATGCCACTATTATAGAAAATTATGAAACAAATCATTTTTATTATATACAGAAATAATAAAACAGGTTTTACTATGCATTGACAAGCGTGATCTCATGGCTTCAATTTCCTTTGTAACTTTTTCCATCTGATTTTTATAGTCATTGCTTCGTTTTGTCTGGTGTTCAAGTTCCCAGTTGGTTTGTGTCTGACGGCTCATCTCACTGTCCAGCTGCTTCCTGGCATCCTTCATGGTTTCCACTGCAGTCTTGTAAGTGTCCTGGAGGTTGATGAGCTCTTTGCTGATGCGTTCGGTATCATCGAGGGTGAGGTGAGAATCTGTGAGTTTGTTATCTGCAAGATAACAAGACAGTGTTACTACAAAATAGGGTTAGTTCTTTTTACTGTTTTTCTTATTCGTAAATAACATTATTTACTGACACTGACAAACAACAATCATATTTTAGTACATAGTAGAAATAATTTTAGCCATTTTTTATTTATTAACATTTTTTTTGTTTTTGTTCTGGATTGTTAACAAAATTCAGTATCCGTTTGATAATAAGAATGATTCTGTGCATTGCACGTCCTCAGACTGACTTACAATGGACTCCCAGGCCAATATCAACTATCAGCAAAACAGCAGCGAGTAGGGCCAGGCTCACTGCAGCCAGTCTGTGACATCTCCCAGGACTCATAGTGAACATGGACACTATACAGAGAAGAAGAATTTTCAGCTTAATGACAATGACAAATCTTTCGTGACCAACACTTGCTTGAAGTACATGTTATGAAGGCAACTTAATGTATCTTTTTACTACTTGCTGAACTTAAATCATGTGTAGTGACAGGCCCAAAAGAAGCAGTCCAAAACAGTGAGTCTTTAATATTAATACAAAGCCCAATTTAAAAAAAAGTGTTAAAAGTGCAGAAATGATGAATAAGAACACGAGAGCCAAGCAGCGCTGCACACAGGAAACAGACATGTTTCCAAATATGAAATATACTGCAACAACAAAGAAACGGAGAATCAGAACAAAACAGAACTCAATGAGGATGGGAAACAGGTGAGGCATGAGATGTAGGTGAAACTAATTAACAGTCTAGGAATGAAGGGAGGGAAGCAAAACGAACCTAAAATACAAAACAAGAAAGAATGACCAGAACAAGGAAACAAGGGCACATAAACACAGGACGAGACAAGGGGGAAGGAAGAGAGAAAGTAATAAAGGAACAAAACACAAATACTCCAAAATAGGAAAGTGAAGTTAAATAAAGATCAAACATCAGACTAGAATAAACCACTCAAACTCTACAAATACTATACTATCAAGAACTGCTTGGTGCCTGAAAGTTTTGAATACTTAATTGTGAGAATTGACTTAACATTAATCAGCAATTAAGATTTATAATAAAACTAAAGTGAAATGGCACCACAAAAGCTTGGGCCCACGCTAATATTCTATTATGGTTTATAGCTTTAATTTATCTTTCATTCAGCTGTCTCAAATCATTGCATCTTATCATGACAGCATTTCAACTTATTTTAGCAGTGGTATGTTCAAACTTGGTCAAAATAACCAACAGACACCCGAATCAGACTACGGAAGCCCATTAAACACAAATTTAATTTATTATACCTTGGTGCCTGTTAGACTGATGATGATGCTCTTCATCGTAGAAGTCTTCTTCACAAATGAATTCCTTAAATCCACCGTTAAAATTACCACCCGTGGGTTCTCTCCTCTCCTCCATTCTCACTGTTCAGTCAACATTGGTCATATGTGCATTTGAATAACAACTGGCCTGAGATAACGCAACCTGAACTTGCTGATTTCATCAAAAATTATTGAACACAATCAATTCCAGTAAAATGTGGAATGTGTGGGGGGGAAAAGGAGAAGTGAAATAGTTGTTATTCAAACACAGAGGATTTGAATGTGCTGACTCTTACAGCCGAATTAACCGTCTTAGATGCTGGACAGTAATAATGTTTTCTGCACTGTCCATGAGTAACCCCCCCACACACACACACACAC